TGTCATAATGAACATATCTTCAGCTAAGGAGAACTAAGAGCCCACCCCCACCTTTATATACTACCTCTATCAAGGCTAAACCTACTCGAACAAATGCACACCTCCTAATAATACCATTCCCTATGAGGTTATGGGGGAAATTACATTAACACTATCACTTCCCTAAAACTTATAACATCAGGTGTGCTACAGTTTAGTTTGACTTCAAATATCACATGGTTACAATACTAGTTTGAAGGACATTATAGAAGGATTCACATATGTAGAAATACAAATATGTATGATATTTCAAAATACAGCTGTTACATATAATAACTTCACCAAAAGGCATCTACATAGAACACTTCCTTCCTCATACTTGCCAGTCACATTTATGTTTTCAACCAAGGAGTGATTCTGCAGGCTCATCATGCTCATATTTGTGTCTTTCGTAATTAACAATTAGGAAATGTACTACCTTTAGCTTTCATCTTCAGAGGGTAACAACTGTTTTCAACCTCATGCTAAACCTAACTGAAACCCATTTAAAGATGCATACTAGAGACCTCTCAATTCTAAATTCAGGCTTGGCACAGATGAGACCTACTAACGAGAGAAAGCAAAAGAACTGGGGAAACCAGGAAGGGTTCCAACTTTGTGGCCCTTCTGTGATATCATTTATTTCCTAAGTTGCTATAGATTTCCCTAGAATTCCAAGGTTTCCAGATGAAGGCAGCAGGAACAGATGATAAAATATGCAAAACAAATTGATAATTCTCTCCCTTTACTCAGGTTGAGAATTCTACTTGTCCTTGCTTTTCCTCATTTTCTGGTGGGTATCTTTGCTAAACTGTGGAGACAAAAGAACAAGGGGTACCAAACAGGCATCAGGAAAAACACTGGCAAAAAAAAATACCAATTGAGGAAGATAAACAATTAATGTCTGTGGCTGGGGTAAAGCTATGACCTTGGAGTAGAGCCGTTCCTTAGTGTTGCTGAAGCTATGGTATTGATCCCAATTACTGCAGAAAACAATGACAATTGGCATAATATCTAAGAAGGTTCCTGACAGTGTTATGTCATCAAAGGTGGCATCATAATCACACCCTTGTCTACATGCTTCTTTATAGCAAAACCATCTCCTCCTGTTATCTTGGGCCCAGCAGTCAGATTTTCACTTGAGGAGACAGTGAGCTTCACATGCAAGAGCTTTGGCTTCTCTCCTCGGAACATCATACTGAAGTGGTTCAAAGATGGAAATGAGGTCTCCAATTTTCAAACTACTGTGGACCCCAAAGGAGAAAGCATCTCCTACAGTATCTCTAGCACAGCCCAGGTGGTGCTGGGTGCTGGGGACATACACTCTCAAATTATCTGTGAGGTGTCCCATGTCACCTTGCAAGGAGGCCCTCTCCTTGTGACTGCCAACTTGTCGGATATCATCCGAGGTAAATGATTTTGAATCCCAACTCAAGCTCATGTCTGTGCAGAATGGTTTGGTCCATAGTTCCCATAAAACATTCATGCACACAGTGGGGATCATAGACTGTGATCAGCACATAAAGGAAATTGTATTTATTTTAACAAAAGTAATTATACCTACACACATTATGAACCACACCCCTCATTCTTAATATTTTCATAAATTTTACTGTTGTTATTGCTTTACAAGTACACCTACATGTTGTGCTTATTAATGTCACTTATTATGACACTCATCCTGTACACCTATGTGTTAAGAGTTGCGTTTAGGGCTCTACTCTGCCACAAATACTCATCCTCTCCCCATGATGAATTTACATTAGAGACTGTTCCTCCGAATTTTAGCCTCTCTTCTGGCATCTGATTGTCTAGGTTCTGTCTGTCTCAGCTTCTGCTTGTGCTGTTTCAGTTGCTCCCACAGTGGAGATCAGCCAGCAGCCATCAGTTACATGGAAGCAGATAAATATCACCTGCCAGGTTGAGGAGTTCTACCCTTCGAGTCTTCGGTTGATTTGGTTAGAGAATGGAAATATATCACGGATAGAGGAACCTTCTACACTCACAATAAACAAGGATGGAACCTACAGCTGGACCAGATGGTTCTTGGTGAACATTCCTTGTCATGAGGAGGATCTGGAACTCACCTGCCAGGTGGACCATGATGGAGGGCCACCAGTCATTAAAACCCATACTGTGGTTGTCAGTGCACACCAGAGGCAAAAAGGTATTGATACCATGTCTAGTGAGTCTCCATCCAGCTTCTTTGCTGTTTGTAAAATTTGCCCTCTTTTGAATGTCAAACATAACGTTTGTTCCTATTGTATGATAATTTTAATATCTACAAATGAAGTTAAATGTTAAAGTCAGCTTTGATTGCCAACTTCTCTCAGGTCTCATACATCCCTCCATTAATGTGTTGACATTCACGGATAATAAATAAGGGAGACAGAAAGACACCGTCCTACCCTAGCATCCTCTCTCTTGCATATTTTAACTGTTCTTATAACCTCATGTTTATCTTCTTCATTATCATTATCTTCCATGTCTCTATTCCATTTTATACTTTCCATGAATATCTGTGTCCTCACTCAGTGTCATATGCTACCTGCTGAGAGTAATTCCAACAGGACTCCTGAGAACCTGTAGTTTTATTGTGGATTAGGAACCCAACTAATTCTGAGTGGTCAAAACAGGGGCATTATTTCTTCCTGTTTTGTTATAATGAACAAATATCTATGGGTATTTAGACCCTAGCTCCACACTTACTTACATGCAGCTTTGATTTGGATTTGATCTCTTCCTTTCATTACTTACCTAATGAGTCATCAGTTTTATAGACAGGAAATCTAGGGCTGGGGAAGCAGTAGAGATGTTGAGTTCTTGCTCTGAAATCATGTGAGCTAGTCTAATATAATGAAGACAATCTAAGATCCCTGGGGACAAGGTCATCAGAGTTTATAAGGTGAATTTTTCTAGTTAAGTATTTCCCCTTGATTTGTTACTATTGTAGGACTTAGACACAGTTAGATATAGACATCTTCATATGAATCTAACTTATTTACCTATCATGAAACATGAGGAGTGGCCATTAACTCCCTTAACCTTTCAAAAACTCAATTCTTTTTTTTCCCAACATTTTTATTTGAATTAGAAACAGGATTGTTTTACATGACAATCCAATTTCCCTTCTCCCACCCGTCCTCCCCTACCGCCCCCCCCAACTAAAGCCTTATCTGTCACATATCTTTTCTGCTCCCCCTGGATGGTGAGGCCTTCCATAAGGTGTCATCAGAGTCTTTCGTTTCCTTTGGGGAAGGGCCTAGGCCCACCCTCATGTGTCTTGGCTCAGGGAGTATTCCTCTATATGGACTGGGCTCCCAAAGTCCACACATATGCTAGGGATAAATGCTGGGCTTCTACAGGAGGTCCCATAGATTTCTGAGGTTTCCTCACAGAAACCCATGTTCCTTGTGTCTGGATCAGTCCCATGCTGGTATTCCAGCTATCAGACTGGGGAGCAAGAGTTCCCAGATGTTCAGGTCAGCTGAAAACATCATTCTTTGTCATAGAGCCTGTGTTGTGATCTTTATCTTCCAGATAAACAATAGGTCACTCAAATATCCATTGTACCACCATTGAAACAGTAAAGTTTAGAAAATACCAACT